TTTTGCCTGGATGTCCCCTTTCCTCTATAGCCCTGCTTCATGTTGGGTGTGACTTAAGCCAATTGTACCCAAAAACAGTTTAATCTGCTCTACTTCTTTAATTTGAACTTGGGTTTATTCTTGAGTCTGAACTGAATAGATTTATTTTTTTCTGAGGGAGTTTATAGTCTAAGGAAGTCTTTTCAATGAGAAAACATAGATGGCAAGAAAACAAATTCCTATATCATGAATTTCACATGCCCTCATAGTAAAAAAAAAGAAAGCCATTTTATTTAATTGCAGGCTTTTTTAAAAAAAATATATATAACTAATAGATGGAACTGATGGATTGGAACTTCTTAACTAGTTTCTTTCATCTTGGACCCTGCACATCCATGGTGTCAAAAATGTGTATAACCTGGGAAACAGCTGCTGTGTTGGAATGTGGTCATGATTTGGCCTTTATTTCAGAAGCAAAACTTGGATAAATATTAGAAAATAAAAATAAAAAAGCAAACCTAGCAGCTTTATTCTCACAGGGAAAGGAACAACGCACGGTATTTTTCTGTCAATAATAAAGAATTCATTTAAATTGTAGCAACTAAATAATGGAAAAGTAGAAAGCGTTCCCGGGTAAATGAGAAACGATTTTGCTCTTTGAATAGGGAATTTTAAAACAACATAGATGCTCTTTTGTATAGCTGTCCCAAGGCCACGTCCCACCACTGATGGACAGCAGCTTCCCCTCCCATCCCTGGGAACACTTGGGCTGGAAAACAGACCCAGTAATGAATATAGGCACGAGAAATAAAACATCATTCAACTGCTTTTTGTTTCCCCTTCAATCAAAGGCAAAAATGTTTCTTTCCAAACCCTGCCTTTGTTGCTTTCTTTAGAGATGTCATGTTTGGAAAATATTTGATTATCCCGTCAAGACAGTTCAAATGTAAAAAGATGTGCAGAGAGGAAATAGAGTAAAAGTTAAAAAAAAAAACCCAGGCGGTGATTTTCAGGCGTATAAATGATTTCGCTTCAGCGGCAGAAGGGTCATGAATATGAATAGCGCTGAGTTCCAGAGACGCGATTTGTCATTATTCAAATTAGTGCTTTGTCAACACAAAACTCTCCCTCTCCCCGGTTCCTCCGGGCGCTGCCGCACAAACAGCCGCGTTAAGGACCTGAGCGTCCCGGGATTCATCCCCGGGAACGGGGCTCTGGCTCACAAGGTACAAAGCCTGTAACCCACAACGGGAGGCTGCTCAGGCTGGGAAATATATGGAAAACTCCAAAGGGAAGGAGGCACACCCGGAGCTGCTCCGGGTTAGCAAGGGAACACTTGACAGTGGGGCATTCCTCAGCTGTGACATCCCATCACACATCCAGATGTACAACAGCAAGATCTCGTTAGGAAAGTTTGCTCTTGGAGCAGCCAGGCAGCATTTTCAGAGCACAACAGAAAAAGGTGGAACAGCAAAAGTCATTTTTCTGGGAAATATGCCCGCAGGAGAGGAGCTGAACAGGAAATGCGCTTCCATGGATTTCCCAGCATGTCTCTGTTGTGAGCTGTACCCCTGGTTTGTTTTGCATGCATTGATCCCTCCCTCCCTTGCAAATCTTACTGAAGAGGTGCAAAAGCAAGGGAAAATGTTCTTAAAGACAGTGAGCAACAAATTCCTCTTAGAGGAGCAGGATTCCCACATGAGCCCTATCTCTGGCTCCTGGGCTGTCCAGTAATGGGTCAGGGCCAAACGATGAGCAGGAGGAAAGGATCTAAAAGGGAACACTGATCCTATTTAATTGTGGAATGGCTGAGAGAATGAGGTGGAGCACATTTACACATAAGTTTTGTTGTTGATTTTTTCATGGCAAGTGCTTGATCGATAAGAAGAGTTTCAAGCTTCAACATCAAGAAATCAGCCAATGTTTTATTCCCCATGTGGGACTGCCATCCTTGAGACTGGGGGCCATTTCAGCTGGAAGCTGGAGCACTAACAGGGGTGGGTTAGTTTGAAAACCCCACTGAGTTCAACACTTCTTGCAAACTCCTCTTTAAAGCTCTGTCCCCACTCCAGGACCTACAGCAGTTGCCAGTTCTCCAGGGTGAACCTCCCAAAAAAACCAAACATATTTTCCAGTCTCAAAGTAGACTAACATCCTAGTGCCCTCCAAAGGCAGGTGGATAATCTTTGTCCAAAACTAAGTGCTTTTTGCTAAGACTATACTTAAAGTTTGGCAATTACAGGAGGAAACAAACCTCTACACTCTGCATTAATAGCTGTGCATCAAGTGTGAGCACAGAAGGCAGTTTCAGGGCACTCCAATATTGGTTTATAGTCCAATAAGTTTGAAACAAGCCCTTTGTTTTTCTCTGCTACCTAATCTACATTTCATTTTATATATAACACTAACATGCATATGCAAACATTACAGGTAGAGAATACACTATAGATGCATAATTTCTGGATAGAACTGACTTTAAAGAGCCCTGGAAACAAGAACCAGCGAGTGAAATAGTGTGGTGGTGCTGCCATTGTTTTTAAATTAATCTCATGTCATAGGTGTGACCAGTTCAGGTTTGTCAATCAGTCACTCACCAAATATTATGGTTTAGGAGCAGAGGAGCTGGTAAACAGCCCAGTGCAGAATGTGGTTTCTGTTGGGGTCTGTCAAGTGAAGGCTGTGTAAAATACTTTTCTTTCCCTCTGCCCACTCAGCCTAGTGGAAATAATATGATTTAGCAGCCAGAATGGCACATTAACTTCATAGGCGCTCTCAGAGATTTAGGACCTCTGTTCTCCTCTCACCTCTTTCTTGAGAACACAGCTACTGCAGACCACTGAGGGCACCTCTGAAAAGTCAGTGCAGAGCAGGCAGCAGAAAACAGGAGGGAAAAGCTCATTACAACAGTAAAAATCCGAATTTCCATGGTCTGAGGGCCACAGGTCTCCATTCAGATCCATGTAATCCCCAGCACCAGCCCCAGACTGTTGCATTTTCCATGGATTGATGCATGTGCATGGAAGCAGACTTTAGTGCCCATCCATGCTGTAAACATGAACAGTAAAAACCCCCCTGCTTTGTCTCAAGTGATTTGGAGGTAGATAGCAAAGAATTAGACGTGGTTTTATCCCATGAATAATGCATCAGATCTGGGGGTTTCTCACTTCAAAAAAGATCAACGGGGCAAAAGAAGTCAGGAGAGATGTCCAAGATCTTTTGACTCCATAAAAACCGATCAATTGGATCTTTTAAATGGGTTTGCAGCCCAGTGAAACTCCTGAAATAAGCTAATACCCATTTCCTACAAGAACCTTTAACACCGAAAGAAAGTCTCTTCCATTTTCAAGCACAAGGAGCACACAGATTTACTCACAGATCTTCATTTGCTGCAATAATATTAAATGTCATTGGCAGACCTGTGAGCACTCATCAAAAACCACTTCAGAGACAGGATTATATCCCCCATTAACATTTCCTACAAGTGTTTTCATCACTTGGTTTGCAGGAAGCACTTGTCACGTTTTGAGGGGCTGAACTCTAAACCAGGAAGGATAAGTTTGTGTTGGGTTTTTTGGGGGAGAAGAAGGTGATTCATTACCTTCCCTATAAGTTTCTGGGGTACTACATAGAAACACACACCAAGTTTAGGGTAATTTTTCATGTTCGCTCCGTGTCAAATACTTTTGGTCATAAAATGCACTGGCTCTGGAATCCACCAAGTCAAGCCAACAGCAAAAAGAACTTGCACAGTTGCCAACCTTGGCTCAACAGAGGCTCAGAACAGAATAAAAGTGAGGGATAAATTACTTTCAGTGGGATAGAGTGTGCACACTGCAAACCCACTGCAGAGGGGCCATGAGGGACACTCTCCTAAGCTCCATCTGTCTCCACCTTATAGAAGTACTAAAAGCCTTGTTAATAATTTAACAAACTAATGGACGTGTTTTTAAACCTTGTGGACTGTCATTTAGAGAAGCACCACGTTGGCAGAGCGAGATGGGGAGAGTGGGAAGCTTGTGGCTTTTTATCCCACAGGGATTATGAAAGTCAGGAGAGCACAGTGTGCTCTGGACAAGCTTGGGACCGCAAAAAAAAAAACAAAGGGAAAATTTCATCTCCAGGTGGATCAGTGGTAACAACCTTCCTGAGACACACCTGGGCATTTTGCAGACATTTTAGGCATGAAGGTCCCAAATTTTGAGACTCAGCACTTCCTACCAATTTGGCTGCTGGGAAGCTGAGACACGTGTTTCCAGAGCTCTAACTCAAGGACCAGGGTGCCAGGACAGCCCACCTGGTTTCCAGCCATAAACTACCCTCAGCAAGGACAGCACACACTTGGGCATCCCAAGGATTGCCTCAAACTACATCCAGCTCCCCCCAGGACATTAGAGAGGAAAAGAAACCACAACTCACTGACCTGGACGTGTCTCCTGCTGCAGCTTTCCAAATAGGAAGGGGCACGTGCTCCCCTGCAGTCTTTTCCCTTCTGCCTGCACATCACTTTATAAGCTCACACTTCCCATTCCTAATCATCCAAAGCAGGGCTCTCTCTGCAAATCAAACCATTTACCTGTGAATCAGCTGTCCTCAGACCCTTAAATACTCTTGGCTCATCCCCCCACCCCTGCCTGCAGCTGGAATCTGCAGATTCCACTGCCATTCCATCCTATCCCAGGCTGACGTGCTGAGAAAAACAGCCAAGTAACAGCACCCAGTTTATGGCACCTTCATAAACCTAAATAATGGCAGCCTACAGGTAAACCAGGCCCTGCAAGCCAGAGTTTAACCACCTCAGCCCTGAAATGAAGCTTTGGCTGCACATCCAAGGAGCAGAGGGGTCCCATATGGCACCACCTCACCTGCCCAGGGGCGAGGAACAGAGGAAGAAAGAGGAGGAGAAGAAGCGTGACCAGTTTAACTTTTCCACTCTCTTCTTTCGGGTTCGGGTGGGGGGGAGAGGGTCTGGCAAAGCTGCCAGGAGTCCCGTGACTGGAACCCCCCCCCTCTTGCCCCCCCAGATCAGCATCTTCATGACCCACCTGTCCAACTACGGCAACGACCGCCTGGGCCTCTACACCTTTGCCAACCTGGCCAGCTTCGTCAAGAGCTCCACCAACCTCAACCTGCAGACGCTGCCCCCGCTCCAGCTGGCCCACAAGTACTTCCAGCTCTTCCCAGAGCAGACAGACCCTCTCTGGCAGGTAATGCCACATCCTCTCCCTCCTCCAATCGCAATCCGCCTCTTGGAATGACAATTTCTTCAGGTAAAAAGGGGTCTTTCGTTCGCCGGGTTTTATTTTGCCTTCACAGGTAGTAGAAAGATAAGGGGATGAATAATATCCCACATTTCTATTTCATGCTGCCTTTTTGCATCCTCATGTCAATCAAAACCACTTTGACACCTCAGAAAGTAATGCCTTCAGAGGTTTCCTTTTTAACCTCAAATGGAAACTTGATTAAATCAATGTTTAAAAAAACTTGATTAAATCAATGTTTTAATCTTTGTTTTTTTCCCCTTCTTTTCCTTCTCTTTTCTCCTAATGACCAAAATTAATCCTCGGTCATGCAAAACCATTAGACACACGCTGCGGGGTTTTACTCCTCAGTGTAGCTAATGCTGTGCATTTAGATCCTGCAAAGATTGTTCATGCAAAAATGTAGGGTGGTGCGATGAACCCAAACCCCTTTCCTCCCTCAGAACCCGTGTGACGACAAACGGCACAGGGACATTTGGTCCAGAGACAAAACCTGCGACCACCTGCCCAAATTCCTGGTGATAGGACCCCAGAAAACAGGTAAGAAGCCATAAATTTGTAACCCAAGTTTTGTACCTGTGTGTTTGTGTCCTGTAAACAGAAGACAACTCCCTGCCATGGAGATGGTGCACTTCAGATCCCTCTGGAGTTCTGTAGTTACTCCTTCACTGCCAGCAGAAAGGGACAACTGTCTGTGCAGTAAAATTGCTTCGTTCACCATAAAAAAACCCCATTCCTGGGATTTTAAAGTGTACTTATTGCACACAGGATGGATAGCCCTGAGACAGGTAATTCATTCCTCAGAACAGACTCCCAGGAAAAACACACCGAGGACAAAAGTGCAGTTCTGGGAGCCCCAAGGGCGTCATCCCACAGTCAGAGCTTTTAGAAACTTTCTGGAATGAATAAAGTCAAAGGTGTTTTTTTCTCCTATTTCTAATGGCATCCCTTTTTGTTACCTTAGGAACAACAGCCCTTTATTTATTCCTTCTGATGCATCCTTCCATTATCAGTAACCTCCCCAGCCCAAAAACTTTTGAGGAAGTTCAGTTCTTCAACGGCAACAACTACCACAAGGGAATTGACTGGTAAGGAGAAGAACAAATTCATTATTAATACATGGAAAATGACAATGGAACAATTCCAGAAGCACGTATGACACCACCATAATTACTGGATGAATTTGTTATGCTTGGCATTATCAGACAGAGGGAGAGTCTAATTGGTTATGATGGGACATTTAATCAAGTCCTTAATTTTGTTTAGATACTGCAGGAACAATTTCCTGATTTTTCACACCAAGATTTTTCATCCAAGAGCCAGCTCAGGCATGATTTCTGCCTTCATGCTGAACAGCATCTCTGTATCTGCACTGAGTTACAGCCTTTTCCTTCAAAAGTGGCTTTTCATGAAGTAAGGTTTGATTCATCTCTCCATGAGAATCCATCCAATCAATCCTAAACGGAATTCAAAGCCAAAATTCAAATCTCGCATTCCCAAAGCGTCCAAAAGCAAAGATTTGTCAGCTCCAAAATGAAGTACTTCAGCAATGTTAAAATTAAATGGTTGACATTTTGAAGCTTTTCCCATTTTTTTTATCCTGCAGCTAAAACTGAACTCACTCCAGACTGGTGAAAGATATCCCTTTGACACCGGACTTATTAGCAAAAATCCCATCCATCAAAGGAAGGACCTAATTACCTGACTTCGGGGTGGCTTTAGCTATTACCAGCACCACCTAAAAGCCAAGATGCATTCCCTTTATTCCAGCCTGGAGTCAGCTGAGAAATTCAATTTTGCTTCTGCAGGATTCTGTCTGAAAATCTACCCTTTCACCTGCCACAAAATGGGAAGCGCAGGGACACGGCCCTTCTGTGCTGCTGCTGATTCTAACAAGCCTCTTCCCCTCCCAGGTACATGGGTTTCTTCCCCACTCCTTCCAACGTGACCACCGACCTCCTCTTCGAGAAAAGTGCCAACTATTTCCACTCTGAGGAAGCTCCCAGGAGAGCTGCTTCCCTCATCCCCAAGGCCAAGATCATCACCATCCTCATCGACCCGTCCGACCGGGCGTATTCCTGGTACCAGGTACGGGGAGGTGGGTGGAGGGGGATGACGGCCCAGCATTGGTGGGGATTCGTGTCCTTGAGCAAGGAGAGGGATTTCTTGCCAAGCCTCTGCAGCCCATGGAAGCAGGAGGGTGCCGAGTGCCAGCTCTGGCAGTTGGCACCTGTGACACCGGTGTCACAAACGATGAAACTGCCCGGCACAGAGCTGCCACCAGCAGTGAACAAACAGCTTCATCTCCATCACACCTGACAGAGCCCAGAGGGAAAGCTGGGCTCCTCACCCAGGGAGCTACACAGGGAAAAGGAGAGTGTCCCAGCTCTTGCTGCTGAGGATCTCATCCCTCCCTGCTGTGAGCTCAGCAATAGGTGGCTGTGTACACATGTACACAGCACCTTCCAAAGTTTCCAAGGAGTTCAAAAGAGCTGTGTCTGGAGAGGTTGGCTTCTTCTCCCTTTGGAAACAAAAGTAAGCCCTTTGTTCTCCTGTGTAATCTCTAGGATGCTCCTTCTTGCCTTTTACTGAGCCCACACCTTTCCCTAACTAAATCTGTGCTTTTTAAAAGAGCTCCTTTTAGAGACATGTTTGAGCCTCCATGTGAAATACGCTGTAGGCCTACAGATACAGGAAAGACTAAAAGCAATGTCAGAACAGACACAAATTAATAATGTTGCCTGAATATACCAAATATAAAACAAGCCTGCTCAGAATAGTTATCAGTAATCCTGCTTGGCATTCCAGCAGTCAGTGGGTATATAAGCATGAAATACACCATTTCCTGTGGTTAGAAAGTCCTGCAAGGAACAAAACACGACCTGGGGCTGCAGTTTGCACCCTTTTAATATCTCATTTGCAGCCTTTTACTCTCTCATTTGCAGCCTTTTACTCTCTCATTTGCACCCTTTTACTCTCTCATTTGCACCTTTACAACTGCCAGTGCAAAGCAGCAAAGGAATCGTGCCTGCTTGGGCAGGATTTGACTCCTCGGCTCCCAGGGGAACCCCTGACTGAATGGGGGTTCTGCTGCCTTGAAGCCCCCCACTCCTACCTGGCACAAGCGGCACTGAGGGGCAGCCGACGGCTGCCAGCACAGCTCTTGGAAGATTTAAGGCTTAACCTTCAGCATCCTTGTGACGCGTTCCCAAATATCTCCCGGCAGCACCAGCGCTCCCACGAGGACCCCGCCGCCCTGAAATTCAACTTTTACGAAGTGATCACATCTGGCCCCCGGGCCCCCTCGGAGATCAGGGCTCTCCAGAAGAGGTGCCTGACCCCGGGCTGGTACGCTGTGCACATCGAGAGGTGGCTGTCCCACTACCCTGCCTCCCAGGTAACACCCTTGGGGTTCCCTTCCGGCACCAGCCAAGCTTCCCAAGGCTGCTGGCTCCCAAGAAACAGCTTTGGTCAATTCATTTGGAAAACGCCAGGGCTTTCCCCAAACAGAAATTTCACCCTGCTTCCCACTCGCTCCCTTTCATTAAAAAAAAAATCTTTGATCCTGGTATGGAATTGGCTTTTCTTGGGGTTCCAGCAGAAATTCCTTCTTTTGCCTCATCTCCCTTCAGGTATTTTATTGTGCTGTCCTTTGTAATCTTTCCTGTGAAAAATTTGCCTAAACACAGAGACCTAAAGAAAATGGCTAAAATAATAACACCAATAAAATAACCTAAGGCAAACATATTTTAGTACCACAAAATGCATACATGGGCACTCTTTATCCACGGACATGGTCATATGTCAGTCCATATGTCTGCCTACTACACCCTCTTATTAAACATTCAGGGGCACGGTGACACATTTCTTGTCAAACCACTTGTGTTTCACAGTTATGGTGATTAATTTTACAAGACACACGACAAAATGCTCTCTTTCCTGATCAGGTGCACACACAGAGTGCGCTCCCAGTGCCTGCTAATGGGCACTCAGTAATGTGCATTCATCCCGCCTGGGCACTCAAAATCTTAATAATTCATAATAAGCCCTCACAATAAATATAAACCAAGCCTGCCCAGAATAGTTATCAGCGTTACTGCTTGGTATTCCAGCAGTCTGTGGGTATATTGTCTTACTGTTTGCTTATGGAGGTCAATGCACCTTTACATCGCAGCAATCTTTAATTAAAAACCAAAAAACCCAGCCCACTGCCAACAATTTTGCAAGCCTTTCTGGTTGATAGGCTGGTGGGAAGTTTGAAATAAACTGCCACAATATCACTTTTGAACATGTAATTATCTTGTTCTGAGCATTTAATTCTACAATACATATATACGACCTTTTGTTGTTTTTCATATTCCGTGCCAGATCTTCCACGGACACAGCCTCAACAATATTTTACATTCTTTCCTTATCTCTTTCTTTCAGAATTCTCTGAGACTTGGGCTTGGCTTGGGAGATTTAACCCTTGCATTTGAACAAGGGGCACACACACAGAGTTACAAAGGTGCCCACTTACAAAAATTCAACCCAATAAAGTAAAAAGCATACCTAAAGAGAAGTCCATCCACATGAATGTTATTAGCACTGTCCAAAGTCACCTGCTAACTTAAACTCAGGTTGTCACAGGAGGGAAACAATGCCATAATTTTGTGATGTGTTTCTAAAAAAGTGCCCCATTTACCCCTGCAGTTGCTCATTATTGATGGACAGCAGCTGAGGAGTGACCCGGCCACTGTGATGGACGAAGTGCAGAAGTTCCTTGGAGTCTCTCCTCATTATAATTACTCAGAAGCTCTAACGTGAGTCTACTCCCTTTTTACCTGCCCCACGGGAGCAGGGGGTACATCCCCTCCCACTCAGATCCCTGGATCATGAGTTACAAACAACCAACACATTATGACAATGATAATTTTGCAAAGCTTAGGGTTTTCCTACATCAGCCTGCAGGAGCTGAAGCCCACGGAGTGTCAGCTGTGGAAAGTTTCAGCTTACGTGTTTCTATCCCATTCAGACAGGAGCCCAATGGCAGAGGTTGGCTTAGAAGCTCTCATTCCCTGATCCCATTTTCACGAGTGGCTGAGACTCCTGCAGGGGTGGGAGTGTGCTGAATTTCCCTCTCCCCTCTTAGTCCAGCAGAAAATTGTAAGAAGCTTTAGCACGGAGTCTCACCACAGCCTGGGACATCCATGGGCTGGGGAGCCTGGCATGGCAGTGGAGGCCTCTCCAAGTCACTGTGTGAGCAGAGAGCACGAGCCTGCACGTGGGGTGGGGAGCAGAAAAGCCTCCACTTGCCTTCCCTGCAGGCAGGTAGGAGGAACATGGTGGGAAAAGCAGACCTTTGGACTTTCCAGCCGCCCCACACTGCTCCTCTCCACTCACAATAACTGCTCAATGCTATTTATGTCACAGGTACAGAGACAGAGTTCAGCGCTGAAGAGAGTTGCTCTGCCAAAACCTTTCTCCAGAGGGAAAAAATTTGGATTTCAGAATGTAATTTTTTAAGTCACTGGCTTCCGAAGTGGATGAAAGAGAGGAGGAGTTTGAGTTCAGAGCCGAGCTACTGATGTTTGAACAACTGCTGCTGCACATCTGCAGTGCCTTCTGCTAGGTTTTTAAAATACACACCCACAGACATAGATCTTCCTTTCTGGAACTAAATTAAAGTCAGTGGAGTCACACAGCAGGAAAAAATTTGGCCTCTCCTGCTGGTTTGGACAGGAAAAAATGGATTGTAAACAGATCTATAAAATTATGCACTCACTGTTTGGAGGCATCAAGAATGCAAATGTGCCGCGGAAGCACGCACGGGTTTGGGATGGAAGAGAAAAATGCGTTAAACCCTGGAGTCGCTTTATGGCAGGACTTGTCAAAGTGAAAAAGATTGCATAGGATTGTTCCTAGTCATTACTGCCTAACAAGTGCACACCACACATCTTTAAAGTTGTCAGGAAGCAGCCCGAGGACCCAGCCCTGCAACACCAGTGAGCAACAAGTCCATCACCCTGAGTAATGAGGGGAAAGTCTCAGAGGAGGGTGAGACCAACCCAGGCAGAGGGGAGGTGCTACCAGAGCCCTGGAAGGAGAGCAGGGGGCACACAGAGGCAGGGCTGCAGGAAAATACAGGATTAGGGGAGTGTGCTTAAGGAAATCTCTCTTGGAGTGCTGCTACGTTTTGTCAGGCTAAGAGGAAGCTCCTGGCGGCAGCCTTGCTCACCTCTGCACCCGCCCATCCCCAAATCCTGCCTCTCCCACAGGCTTACTCTGCAGGAAGAGAAGGTAACCAGGCCTGGGAAGGTTTCTGCTGACTGCCTTAAAAAGCTCCCTTGTAACCTTAGCCTCGGGGCTATCACTATTTTTAAATAAATACTTCCACTGTGCCCAATTATGTTTACAGAAGACCCGAGAGCTTTGTGAGACCTGAACACGGCGGATTGAATTCAGCCTGAGCTGTCTTGCCCTCTTTTCCCCTGCCCAAATTTGCACATCCTCTTCGTGACGTTCAATATGCTTCTTCTGGGGCAGAAATACGGTTTGGGGCATAGCTTTGCAGTTTTCCTTCTACCCAGCACACTGTATTGCTGCTGCTCTTGGGAAATTAGTGCAAGGCAGCAAAGCACTTCACCAGCAACGAGCAGATGGGAAAGGCCACAGCAGAAGTGAATCTGTCATCAATATACCCATTTAATCAATGATTTATTTGTTTTTAATTGATACAGCTACCGAGACAATTTAGGAAACAAAGGTCAGGCCTGCAGTAATAGGCTAGGAAAGAAAAAACCATGAAGAAGGTTCACCCTTCTCCTGAAATTAGTTCAGTTCTGCACAGCAGCAAATTGTGGGTGCGCCCGTGTGGCACAGACAGAGCCAGGGCAAGAAGGTGCTCTGTAACTAATTACCTCCGTGTGCCAGCCAATTACACTTCATGCTTTTCAAACATCTGCTGAATAGCAGGAATGCAGAGCATTCCAGTGTTTTATGCAATGCTGCAAGTCCCACAGCAATGAATTCCAAACTTAACGCCACGTGCTGCTCATTCCTTAGTGGGTGCTTTAGAGCCTTAATCTAAAATTCCTCTATCTCTGGATTTCAGACATCACAATCAAATGGTGCATTTCAGATAAGGCTGCTGAGACAGTGTTTATGCTCAATGCCATCTTTGGAATGAAAATGGTATTTGGATCTAGTGATAGGGAACAGCAACTTCCCAGGTGAGGTTGAACACCCAACCAGTAATTCATTCAGGAGACCTGTAGATCAACCCTTCAAACTTGTACCCTGTATGCTGACAAGCAGAATAAAAAACTACTCAGTGTAGGTAAATCACAGTGTGAAAAAACTCCCTGCCTTGAGCCACTTCCAAGGCAAATTTGCAGGAAAAAAATGAATCCCCAGAGTTTTCACAAGAGAGCAAAGCTGTTTCCCACTCTGTCCTCGGAATTTCACTCATCTAGAGAGAAGTGTGCAGCGATATTTGTGGGCTAACACTGATGTCTTAGTAGCTGAGAGATTCTTCTGTGGTGAGGTCTTCTCAAATATATAATCCTCTATAGGTTTGACCCTCAGAAAGGCTTCTGGTGCCAGTTACTGGAAGGAGGGAAAACAAAGTGCCTGGGAAAAAGCAAAGGTCGGAAATACCCACCAATGGACCAAGAGGTAAGGGCTTCCCAGAGATTTACAACTTTCAATACAGAGTCTGTGTTTGCCTCCCAAAATAGAGACACACTGATTTATTTTTATTTTATTTATTTGTTATATTTCCACTGGCTTGATACTTTAAAAGATCAGGAGCAGGAGATGAGCTGCCCCCTGTAAGAGCCCCTCTCTGGGAGCAGTGCAGGGATGCAGGAGCAGGTGCTGAAATCTTTCCTTCTTTAACCCTTGCTGTGTTGTTTTTTTTTCCCCACCCTCCTCCAGTCTCGAGCGTTTCTGTCGAGCTACTACAGAGACCACAACGTGGAGCTGTCCAAGCTGCTGCACAGGCTGGGGCAGCCCCTGCCCTCCTGGCTGCGACAGGAGCTGCAGAAGGTCAGGTAGCACCCAGGGGCACCCCGAGAGCAGGACCATTCCCTTCACCGCCAAACCCCCGCTTCTCCGACTCACTCGTGATCGTCAGTGCCGGACCTCATGGACAACGCTCTTCCTAGCAAAAAATAAAACAACAATCCACCAGAGAATGATTTAAAAAAAAAAAAATAGCCCCCCGGACCCGACAGCCGTTCATATGCACGTGCTGACAGTTCGCAGCATCGACCCCTTTCGTCGGCTTCCAGGAAATAACACGGAGCTACGTGGCATTCCCCCTTTATCCAGGCCGGGATTCGTGCATAGCCCAGTTCCTCTCTCCACCAGGAAGTACCAGAAACTGTGTGTAGGACCAATTGCAGTCTGTCAGGACACGAGCAAAGGATGGGAACATCTCTCTCTGGACCCTGAGGTTGGTCATCCGCTGGGCTTTTCCCACATTTGTTTTCCAGTCCTTTTAAACTCCAAGCAGGCCATGCCAGCAGTGCCCTGCCAATAACCCAATACCAGCCATTTTACCTCTGTCTGGGGAGCAATGCTTATGCTCTGAAGCCTTCAGGGATGGGGTGAGTCGTTTAAGGTCCTGGTCTGTAAGCTATCACAGAAAAATAACTTTAATGGCCCTTTTTAAGGGTTTGAACCCAAACTACAGTCTGTTGAAGCAAAACTCTTTCCGTGGGCTGTTATGGAGTTGAGAGGACAAACACAGCCAGTATACAGCACATATACATGTATGATGTATATATTTTAATGCCTTGGTATCTACCTACTGTGCATCTAGATCAGACACAGCTTTATCTGCTTTTTGTGCCCATAGAGAAATGACAGGCTGGTTTACCAAAACCATTATATGAACTGTGCTTGGGTCTCAGACCTGTAGGGCCAAGGTCAGCGAGGCTGGGCAGAGACTCACTGGGAAGTTTAAGCTGAGAGAGCAAAGACCCTTTAGGCATTTTAGCCTTGTAACACTTTTCCTCGGGAAAGCAAAACCTGGCAACACTTTGCTGTACATTCTTTATGCAGCTCAAAATGCAGCGGGTTTTCATTTTCAAACTTCTCTGTCTTTCTTAGGCACAAATAATTTCAGGTGCTGCAGAGGCCTTATGAGTTCCTCTCCTCGTGGATTTGATCCTTACCTCCCAGCTTAGGAGGCAGAACTGTTCTTATATTTTGACCAGGAGGACTCTACAAAATGAACCAGGGCAAAATAAATGTCAAACAAAAGGAACTTTATGTGGGATTTTTGGGCAGAGGAGTAATTTACATACTTTGTATGTACCACACAAATCCATGCTCCCTTATCTTTTAGCACTGATAATGCCAAAGATCACCTAGTGTGATGAGAGCTTTGGGTAAGGAAGGCTTGCTCAGTGAAGATCTAAATCAACCATTTGGTAGAATTTTAGCTGTTAAATTGCATTAGAATTGGCTCATCATTAATTAAAAGAGGACTTCCTAACTCCTTGATTAAAAGCTAAATAAACATGACATTGGTTTCAGGAGTTTTTCAAGGAAATGAGACCAATACCATAAAATCTAAAAAAATTAGTTCTCACTCTTAGCTTTTCATTTGGAAAGGAAAGAAGCCTGTCTCTCCCAACCCTCAGCTCTGTGATAGCATCACGTCCTTAAAACACACCAGATATTTTTATACCCCACTGTTACTTTTTCCAGTTTGAATGGGCATCACATTTCCGAAAGATCTCGTGTCCCATTGAAAACTGACATTTGAATTGACTTCATTATGTGTCATAAAGATGAAATAACAGCAGTTCAAAGTTTCATTCCTTCCACTTGTAATGGGACCCATCAACATGGAATGTCTCTGGACCTGCCTAGGATAGAGGAGCCTTTGTGAACTACCTGTAAATGATCTCCATTTCTTTCATGCCTTTCATATCCCTGACCACTAATTGTCGGGATTCTTAAAGACCAGCAACACAAACCCAATAAAAAATGAAACATTTATTCATGGCAAGGGGGTTGTAGCTGGGAAAGACAGTGCTGGTCCTTCTTTCCTGTTTATAAGGCACAGGATTCACATCCTTCATGTGGTGTAGGCTGCAAATCCACAAGAGTTTTACACACTGAGGGCTGCAGCTGCGGTTTGCTCCCATTCCACTAGAAATACGGATTTCAGGAGCTTTGCCACACTGAGGATCTGACCCTACAGGCCAGACACAGACATCAGGGCCCGTGGCAGCATATTTGGTGATTAAAGCAGGACTTCAGCGCTTGGAAAACCCAACTCCCATAACTGAGGTTGTCTTTGAGCGTGGAGCAATGAGAACGGAATCCAGACCCTCCTAAATCATGCACTGACCTCCCAAGGTCTAAAATAAAGTTGTGGGATTAACTGCTCGTGGATGTTTTCTAATAAAACAAATTTCCTCTCTGATAGGGGATCAGGCTGCTGAGTGCCCCCCCCGACAGGTGGAATTATAAACTCTGGGGGGAGGGAAATGTGGTGCAGTGAAAGCACTGGTGGGTCCAGATAATGAGGCAGCAGGACAGTGCCCTGAATACAAAAGCAGGAGCTGAGTGTTTTCTCCTCTTCCCTCTCCTCCTTTCCCTTCCCATTCCTGTTAAAGTTTGAGCCAGTGAAATGGGGGAACATTCACCCCCTGAATGGTCAGCCAAGAATAAATTGGGTGCCGGGTGTTCATTTCCCCTCAGCTGGGCCACCCTAGAGGGAGACATCAAGTCCAAACCAGCCACTTAGTTTCCACCAGTAGGGAATTCTGTTTATAATGAGTTAAAATCGATGTTTATGAAGGGTGTGTGAGCATGTGACAGCTGTGTGAAACGGGTCCAACACAGATACATAACTCAGCAGTGGCCAAGTGTCCAATTCTATTGTACTTAAGTAAATTCCATTTTGCTTTTTCTTTTACGTATGTTCATGGGACAGGAATTTCCACCAGACAACATCTCTCACATCATCTTTATTGTCTCTTTTTGTCCTTCCAGTTCATCCTTTTAGCGTGACTGCAAAGGTGTGGACCTGCCTATGGATTCGACTCCTCCATCCCTCTCCTTTCCAGAAAAGCTACCAAAAACATAAGGATTTGCAAACAACACAGATTCTGAAGTGTTCAGTGCTCCAGTGACTGGATAACTTTTTATAAGACTTATGATCATTTCTGTAGTATTTCAAAACAAGAGACATCTTGTTGACAGAGCTGAAGGAAACACTTCACTGTCGTGCCCAAGCTCTTTTTTTAAAAAATTTTTCTTTCCCCTCCTACGTGACAACATCAAATCCAGTTGAACGAGTACTTGGTGTTGAAGCAAAGGGAATCAAAACAAATTTTGATCCCTCAAAGTATTTTTGTTGGGGGGGTGGTGGGAGGGGAGGTCAAAGGCTGCATTTGTTGGAATGGTTTTAAATAGTTGATGTGCACACACCTGATTACTGGTTCTTCTCACTGCCGCAGAATAAACACTTCTGATGGTGTATTACAGAGCGCTTTCCTTCTTTCCTTAAATCCCCTTTCCCGTTTTCTGAGCCAAAATCTGCTCTTCCATAACCTCTGCCACGTATTTCGAGTGCTCTGTCTCAGCTTCTCCCGCCTCAGCATCTCCTCGAGGCAACACAGCAACGTGGGATTTATGCCAGCACGGGGAGTGCCACTGAACTCCTCTTCCTCCTCCTCCTCCTCCTCCTCCACCTCCTTCTTCTCCTTCTCCTTCTCCAGGCAAGTCTGACACTCCAATATTTGTTACGCTGCACAACGTGCATTTCTGGGCCTGCCTTCCCAAAGTTCTGCCTCCCTGCACCCAGTGTGGGGACACACAGGCAGCCCCATGCAAGCTCTTGCTCTAATTAATAATAATTAATAATCGTTTCCCCCCTGCTCTGTTCGAGGAACTTTAAAGGGCTCTGATTTCAGCTGATGCAAATCGCCCAAACCCCGCACTCAGAATTACCCCTCCTCCAAAAATCTCATAATGCTTCTACATTTTATTATAAAATATTCATTTGTTTTACAGATCTATGTCAGGGTGAGGTTAAATCATCTCAGAGTCGAGGATTCTTAGTACAAACCTTACAGAATAGCAAATTACGCTGCTCTAGATCTTTTATCATCACACAAATTACAAGTGACACTACAGTTATCTGAACACCAGTTTTGGCTTTTTTTTTTTCCCCCAGATCTGCTTGGTGCTTGCAGACAAGGGAGACACGGTAAGTGAAATATTCAAAGTATTTTAGGACTTTAAATCTGTTTGTAAAAAAAAAAAAAAGATAAAAACTACTTGTTGGTCCTTAGCAACTAAAAATTAACCAGCTTTCTATCATGTCTTTTAAAAGCCCTCACAGACATTCACATCCCTGCTCCTTTGGACCCCAGGTGCCTTTATAGAGCTAAATGAAGTGATTACTGGGAAAAAAAATAAAAGAATAAAAAGAAAACAGCCAGGTTGTTCTCCTGTCACTCACAGATCCCTTGGCCACCTCTTGTATTTCCTTCATATTCCCTGGGTGGCAAAGGAAACCATGTGGAAATTGCAGCTGAACCTGAAAGGTTTTTGCCTGAACCAGAAACCTTTCCAGGCTCAGCTGAGTTTCCTGCCTGAGTCTTATTTAGTGAAACGACAGCAGAGTTCTGCCAAAAATTTACTATTTCTATAAAATTCATTAAGGTTGGTATTTTCCCCTCCTAGAACCAGATTATTCCCTCCCAGAACCTGGAAACCTTGAAAGCACTAAATAAACTTCTGAGCTGATCTGTTTGTGAAAAGGGCTTTTTCCGTGTGCAGTTTGCAAGAGGAGAGGAGAGAACCACTTAGTCAGGCATGTAAATATCCAAATTCCAGTTAGAAACTGATTTATGGAGTTGCAGAAATGAATTCTGCATATAATTTATACTCCTCTTTCCGCTCATGAAGAATTAAAGACTTCCCAGAGAAAGCAGATCGGTGTTTGCATTTCGGTCAGCTGCAGCTGCTGGGTGGGGAGAAAAACATTCCAAATATCCAAATAAACGCCACTTTGGGTTTACAAAGCTGTTTGTCCTGCTGCAGCCAACTCTAACCAAACACAGGCCAGCTTTATAGCACTCCTATATTTCTTTGGGAATGGGAATGGGACACGTTAATACACAAATCCGCTCCCATCGCAGAAGGTCAGCTTGGTTGATGAGCTGGGAGCTG